ACACCTATTTTTGAACTCAATCTCCCACCCGCCCGTTTACTATGGCTTTCGGGGGCAGGATAGCACATCTCCCCTGTCCCTCCTATTCTTGATCCTCCGCTGCCATCATAGGGGTACCTTCCCTTTCGGGGCACTCATTTTTCCAATGTCCCTCCTTTGGGCATATGGCACACTGGTTGCGACCCAGACGCCTTTCCTGTGAGCCAGGGCGCCCACGCCCACGTCCTCTCATTCCCCGGCCCCTTCCACCTTCCTGAAATCTTCCCCTGCCACCAGCCTGTACTGCTGCAACCATCATTTTCACTTGCCTCTTTTCCTTTTCTCCCTCCCTAAGGCTGTAAGCCCTGTTCGCAGTCTCCAAAATCTGTGCCATTGTCATGCCCATCAAATCCTCCTTTTTCTGCAGTTTCCTTTTAATATCAGGGGCAGCACGGTTGGTAAAGATACCCTTTATAATTGCCTCAGTAGCCTGATCATCGGGGTTTGCATTAGTAGTATGCCTGATGGTATCCCGAATACGCTGCAGAAAAGCAACTGGACTCTCTTTTGGCTCCTGTACTAGCTCATACGGCTTAGCCCAATTGTTATGTCGGACAGCTGAGTGTCGGAGACCATGTAATAGGAGCTCCTTGTATACAGTGAGACAGGTGAGATCTGCCGGCACGTTGGGATTCCACCGGGGGTCTGCTGTAGGGACCTGAACTGCAGCAACAGGAACGTTTGCTGCGTTTGCCTCATATCTAAGCTGTGCCTCCTCTCGTGCCTTAGACACAACTGATTACGCTCCACCTCAGACAGCAGGGTCCGCATAAGGACATTACAGTCAGCCCAGTCAGGCTTATGGCTAGCCAGACACCCTTCAAAGACTGAGATAAACTTGCTTGGATTCGTAAAGAACTCCCCTGCCTGTGCCTTAAAAGCTGCTAGGTCCACTGGGTTAAAAGGCACATGGGTATAAACCTGCATTGTAATGGCTGGGCGATTTTCTGCTCCAGGACGGGCTATCCGAGTCTCAGTAATCAATGGATAGAATCCCACCGAGGGGGCAATCTCTGGGACCTGAGGCACCCTATCTTTATATGGTGGGGGTGTTGGAGCCGAAGGGGACACCGACTCTGCCATTACAACCGGGGGAGGGTTCTGAGGACTAACAATAGTTACTACCGAACCTGTCGGAGTCAAATTACACTTTTGCAAAAGATCTGATCTATCTCTTAACAACATAAAGAACTGTACATACATATGTTCATTCCATTTACCCGTACGCTGACAAAACAAAAGCAATTGAAGGATCGTATTATAATTAAGTGATCCCTCCGGTGGCCACCTTTCCTGGTCCTCTAGCTGATATTGAGGCCAGTCTACTGTACAGAATCTTTTCAGTTTACTTGTAATCAACGGATCCGATCCAAACACTTTCCAGTTCACCAGAATGCATTCTAAGGGCGTACACCTCGCCCTGCCTGCAGTACTCTATCCCTGCCCCATACTCTAGGGAGACACTGGGTGTCCCCAGGTCAAAACAGGTAAAGTCCCCACTGGACTGTTCCTACCTTATCCAAGGGTCCGGTTCTGCACCGTCATCCGCAGCTGCTTCTCCACTAATCGAGCGCGTTGCACCGTTGTACCCTCCGGGGTCGACCAAACCACGTCTCCGCCGAGGCCCTCGATGAAGTCACCGGTGAGCGCTCTGGGTGTCGGTCATCGTCGTAATCCGTCGGCCGCCAGGAGGGATCCGGGCAAGGCTAAATTTCAGCCTCGAGCCCACCCAGGGACGCCAAGACTGTTGCCGGCACAGGGGCCCGAGGACAACAACAGTGGGGTTCGTTGCCCGGAGTGCTTCACGCCAATAAACATACCGGGGTGGAGAAACAATCAAAGTTTATTTGAGATTTCAAAATGGTGCAAGGAGACAGGCAAGTCTCAAATCAAGCACACCAGCAAAAACAGTTTCTCTCTTCTTTATACGTTTTACAACTAAGCCCCCCCTCTCTCCCCTTCTCTACCACCTCCCCCTACTCCCCCTCCCCTCTCTACTGAAGGCATGTTTATACATTTAAGCAACTAAATCATTCTAGGGCTATAAATCTAGCTTGTTAGTAACACTCCTCTAAACAGTTATTTGGTCCTGTTTACCCTTAGTTTATTACCCCTTCCCCAGCTAGAAACATGCAAACCTCATCATTATCCTTTGGTACCTGCTTTGAGCAAAGTCGTAATTGCTAACGGTCTGTTTACACATTCCAATTCCTGTCCTTGGCTGTTGAGGTCGATTAGAGTTAAACATGGAAGAACTCTGGCTCAGGCAGGCCTAGTAACCCCAACAATGTGGTATCTGCTCTGGGTGGGCACAGGACAGTGGGGTGCAGGGGTGTCTGTGTGGTAGGTGCTCTGGGTGGGCACAGGGTGTAGGGGTGTCTATGTGGTAGCTGCTCTGCGTGCAGGATGATGTGATGTAGGGGTGTCTGTGTGGTAGGTGCTCTGGGTGAGTGCAGGACGGTGGGGTGTAGGAGTGTCCGTGTAGTAGATGGTTGGGGGTGAGGGCCTATGTGGTGCTTTTCCCCAGCCAGCCATAGAATACAAGGCACAGGGAGGAGGAGGGGGAGAATTCCATTCCCTGCCCGTGTCCCTGAGCCCCTCCCAGGCATCCACGCGGGGCTAGAGACCTCCCACTCCCCACCCTGTAGGCTGATGCTCCCCTGTGGAACTACAACTCCCATCGTGCCCCGCGCTGCCCCGCCCCTCCCAGCCGGGGGGCTGTTTAACCCTCCGGCTGCGGGCGAACAGTGCGAGCGGGAGCTCAGGTACGCGGCGGGGTCTGCCGGCCGGTTCTGTGCTGGGACAGGCTTTGGGGGACCCGGAGCGGGGGGGACAGGTTGAAGGGAATCTGGCCCTGTGCTGAGGTTGTGGGCGGGGACTGCCGAGCCGGCCTGCTGCGGTGTCTGGTTGTGTAATTGCTCCAGCCGCGCTGCAAACCCGGGCGGGAGCGTTATAAGGGGAAACTGGCTGGGGGGGGAGCCGGCCTTGTA